AATGTTCCAGTTTTTCTTAGTTTTACAGGAGTTCTTGAGGAAGGTAAGAAGTTCCTAGAAGGACATGGAAGCCGGGTACACATGACCATAACTGACCCTTTGTGCGGATGCCTTTTTTTAAAGCCTTAAAAGACTGAAAGACGCTGAAACCAATATGGATTTTTCACGTGATTCACTTTGGAGTAGATCAAAAGAATTTTTCTGACTTTCAATGTATGAATAGTTGCATTTTCATATATGACCGATGGACTACGCAAAGCACTTACACTGTTCAGCTTTCTGGCTCAGACATAACTCCTGGTTTTAATTACCGAGAGCTGAGAACATAATGCATTACAAAAAATCATCTGGTGACAATGACTGAAAAGAAATGCAGAAGAAATGAAAAAGCACAAGAAACCTTCACAGTTCATGGAAAATCTCCTGAATTACATTATTTTTAAAATTAAATTTTGCTTTATTCTGTCAGAAACCAAGAGGTACTCTCTAACTACAAACAATTATGATTCTACAATAGCAAAGATATGCTGAAATTTGGTATGTGTTTGTACCAGAGGATGTATTTACAGAGTGATCTGCCATTCAAGCATTCTTAGAGCCTTTTTGTGAAATTCCTACCATGCCTCACAAATAAATGTCACATTTACCTTGTTAGCTTACGCAATAATGTATGGCCTCCTTTCCAAATACTTGCAGAACACCATCATGAGCCTCCAGTAAATAAGAAACAACACATTCAGGGTTTTATGTATTATTTTAAGGTATTATTTATGGCAAATCACAGTCTCCCCCTTCAGAGGGTAGTAGAGAAGGTCTAGGTAGGTACAAGAGTGTCCTTGCAGTGAATTTGCTCACTTGCTAAATACACATTGAGCTATAAAATTCTCGTTCTCACTCTGGAATGCCACCAGTACACTGACAAAGCACAGATGATTACCTTTTGGCAGCAAATTATAAAATAAGGATCAATCTACTCTTTGTTGCATTCAAGAAGGGAATCAAAACCTGAAATTCTCAACATCTCAAAATTGTTCCAGCAATAAAACTGCTGATGAGCACTGACAATCACTCAATAGTGCTTAGAGATAAAAACAGCTAACAGAATGCATCAGCAACACAATATTAAACACATAAAAAACCATAGTCAACATCAAAGCTCCTACAGCAATGTTAACTACTTATTATCTATACTTTCAGAAGATGTAGAGGCCCCAAATCAGACTTTCCAATTTTGCCAGCTATTATGCAGAGACAGTTCAATCCAGCTAGGGTGACAAAGGAGCAAGAAAAGCAGTAGATTATCCCCCTCTTTTATAAGTGTGAATTTGGCATATAAGGAGACCAAGCCATTCACCTGTGGTCATGGTGGACTGTGCCACAAAACCAGGAATTAAGATGAAAACTCACTACCTTCCTGTATCGCTGTGATAAATGCCAGCTCACTGTGCCAAGGCTCCTAATACACATGAAATTGCTCTGCCTGTAGTCCAAACTGACCAGAGCTATGAGACTGCATTAAAGTAGTACTGAGCCCAAACTAAGAAACCTTCTCTTTCATGGATAGCACATCATGAAGCCCAAGTTAATAATCCCCTCCAAATTACATCTCGTAAGTACATGTCAGTTTAAATATTCATTCACTGTTTCCTTCACCTTTCATATTTAGTCTATTTTCTAAAAAAATGCATTAGCGGTAAAAGCACATTTTTTGCTCATTTTTTATACAATGGTTATGTCCTATAAGTTTTGTAAATCCTCCCCAGCTACCGATTTCTCTTGTTATATTTGTTCCTTGATTTTTTAGCCTGAATACCTCTTTACAGATACTGTCAGTGCAATTAATTTTTGTAAAACCAACAATAATTAAATCAATGACTAACGAATTTAAAGGTGATTAATTCTCTAAAATTGTTCTCTTTTGAGACAGGAGTCTCACAAACCAAAACAATTTTCTGCATCCCCAATTGCATACACTTGCAATATTTCAGAGTGTTACGAGTTGGTAGGAATAAGGTAGTCTCTACTAGTGTTCTGTGCTTATTGTAATCACAGAATTAGATTGTGATTCCTCAGCTACCAATCCGCAGGACTTCAACTTGAAGCAAGCTATTTCCATTACTCTTACAACAGAACAAGGTTTCTTCTCCATTATGATGGTAATGATGGACTTTTTGTATTGCTGAAGTGGGCCAATTCAACAGATGACATGGCCTCTGCTATTTACTGTTCCCAAAGAGTCAAGATACCCAGCTAATTGAGCTGATAGGTATGTAGTCAATGGTTACACATACTGTATATTTTTCATGATTTAATTACCCACCTGGAAGTAAAGATCAGAAATCAATTATTTTAGTTTAGTCTTAAAAAAGATCAGAGAATAAAATTTGATGTTGTTCCAACAGTTAGATTGTGTAGTAAAATTTGGGCTTAACTTCAGTCTCTCACTCTAAAACGCATGTAACACATTAGCATACCTTTCCTTTCTCATCACAAAAATTCAAAAATGTCAGTGCTACCTTACAAAATTACCTAATTTGGTTCTATATCATTTTCTTATTTTGCTCTGTTTTATCTTTAAGATCACCATTCAGTACTGTGCATAAATTATGGGTAGTTTATGCTTTGCTATTCACAAAGGACATACTCAGAAAAGCCATTTTTTCTGTATTGCATATTTCTTCTGTATTAACAATCAAACTTTTACTGCTGGTTGGGTTTATCTAAAGCTATTTTTAAAATATTTTTCCTCCTACTTATGAAAAAATGATGCTATTGTTGGCCAGAACATTTGCTGGTAAGATACATGCTCACATCATCATAAAACATATGACTGGTAGATTATGTGCTAGTGAAAGAAGATATGGTGCTTAAGTACAAAATTTAACTGTTGAGTGTTGCAAGAAATAATCAGATCATAACAATATTTAACATACAAGGACTTTAGTATCACTGATTAGGTTTTTACTGTTACAACGACACGAGGATCATGCTTACCATTTTAATACTTTGTTTAAGCCCCCTGCTTTGTCATTGTGAAATTATAGAAAAAAATGATGGTCAGGAAATGCTTGTTCATAAAACATTGACCACATTTCTACAGCCAGCCATCATCAGTTCACTTATAAAGTGTATTCCTAAACTGGAACCAACATTAGTGCCCTCATTGCCAACTAAGATGAAAAAAAAAACCCAGAAAACAAAATACAAACCAAAAAACAGCAAAAGAAGCTGAAAACAGCTTTTTTTTTGGTGTAGGACTCTTTGAAAAAGAGAGTTGAAGAACAAAACTAGAAAATTAATTTAAACATTTGCAATAAAGAGCGCTTGAAATCATCCTGTTAAATGTATTGATGTAGCTCAAGGTGTCTGTAAGTAGTAAACAAAGCAGCTCATCTTCTGGGGGACAGAAGCCTGCAAAGAGCTCAGCAGAGCAGTTCGCAACAGACGGGCCATCTTAAAGCCTCCTGGTTTATTATCTTCTCCCCTGACAGCATTCTGAAGCTCGGTGCCCTGGTAATTCAAAGATAAACTTTGCAATAGCTGCAGAGGTCAGAGTCACGTCGCATGCTGCGTGCTGTCACAAGGCTCTGGCGTGTGCAAACACAGCGACGCTCTGCAGCTGGCCTCAAGGGACAAGGTCAAGCAGCAGGAGCAGCTAGTGCAGAGAGCTGGTGGGACATGGGGCTGTGCCCGTGGCCATTGCACCGCGGGTGATCTAAGCGTGGCTGCGCTTCCTTTTCTGTCCGTGTGCCGACAGAGCTAGCCACAGATCACAGGGTCTGCTTTTGCACACTAGCTGACAGAGTTTAAACGTTAACAACAGTCTGAGTATCACTTAATGCAACTTCATTTTTAATACTCCCCAAGAATTCCACACAGGCACACACATTGTGCGTACACCGTTAGCCACTCTGAGAAGTACTGTACACTATGAGAAGCACAAAGTTTGTTGTGCTGACAAGCACAATTTGTCATTTGTTAAAGACTGTCCGTGTAAAGTTGCCAGAAGTTTAACAAAACGTTATGTATTCACTTGAACTCTATGTTCCTCCAGCCTTTGTTGGACAAAGAACATGGCCAAAACTACATGTTCCAGCTGCAGGGATTTTTAGTCTCAAAATATATGGGAGGATGGCTAAAGGGTTAGCTAGACACAGCACAGAGGAACTGAACAAAGAAGGTCATAGATTCTCCATGTTCAATAAAACAGGACAACACAGATAATTTAGGGCAGCTGTGAATTCTAAGCACAAGACACTGAAAGGTAAGACTGAAAAGTCTGAAAGTACCAGCTGCTTCTCACACAGTTCCTCTTCCTTGACAAAGGCAAAGTTATTTCAAACAGGAGTAGGCATTACTGTGCCTCCTCATTCCCTTCATATCGTCCACTTGCTGGGAATCAAACAGCAAGAGTCATTCAGCACATCCTTAATACTAGCTTACAATACTAGTCATTAGTTCATGAGCCCATCAGTTAAAAAAAAAAAAAAAACCACAAACAAAAAAACCCCAACTGTTTAAACATCTGCTTAAGTCTCATCTATTAAAAAAGAAAAAGGACACACGTGCTTTCTCAAATAAAGGCCATAGATCAGGAATCAGCAACCTCAGAGAAACTGAGAATTTTCTTTCTTCCATTAAAGTTAAAGGGATGACAACTAAAAAAAGAATTAAAGTTACTATAACTCAAATAGGCTAATCCAGAGGGGCTTCAGCTTCCCTCGCCCCAACCTCCAGTTTTGTAGTCTGGCATTAAAGTCCCAAGAATGGGACAGAAGATCTCTGAATGTCTGGTTTATCTGGCAAGCCATGTAATTAGTGTGACGTACTACATGCCATTAGACTGTACAGGTGTCTGCAGCAGCCTATTTAAGACATTGCAGAGTTCGAGTAGCTATTTAGTTTATTTCATTTTTATGTTATACATTTTAATTTTCTGCACTAACATATGTATAACATTTTTATTGCATGTACAGTTTATTGCATTGATACATCATTACCTTTAATACATTTACTTCTTGAAGAGTTCCGGGAGTTTGTGGTCAGTGCAGTCCTTCTCTTCCCTGCCTGAAATACTCTCTTCAGCTCCTATAAATCTTGGAGTTGGCAAAGCAGCTAACAAGTAAGCTCTTCTTTAATGAGAAAGATGACAAATGGAAGGAGAGAGAGTCACAAGAGCACAGGGTAGACGCATCTTCTAGATGTGCACTAAAAAAACTGGGATGCCTCCAGGTGATTTTTGTACTTCCTAAGCTAATGGATAACCAACTGACTGGAAAGAACTGGGCATAATGAACGGAACAAACTACCGCAGCCCCTTTTCCAAATCTGCTCCTGCCCTTTGGCTGCCGGCAGTAGCAGTGCTCTCTTCAGTTCATAAAAACCTGAAAACTGCTCTGTAGAATTACACCATAGCTGCATTCTCCCTCCTGCGCCTGCCCCACTGCTCCTTGCAGGAACAGCACATCTTCGAGAAGACTTTCAAAAGCCAGGACAGCAGGTCCCCCATTTCTAGGTCTCCCATTTCTAGACTGGCTTATCATGCTCACTGAATGGAGCGATACGCCAGGCACATCCATGAAAATCTCCAGCATGGGGACAAGGTTGTGAAGTGTTTCAAGGTCAACAAAATATTGCTCAGACTCTCTGTGGCCTTCGTATTAACAAGGTGATATGAAAGCAGCTGTTAGTTGTAAGCTTAACTGCCCTCAGCCAAAAATTAGTCAACCATTTAGTACCTTCTTCTCTTCTCAGTAAGCCTTGCTATGGGCATGAGGATATCATGACCAGGTGGGATGCAGTTTCCATGCTTGAAAGTCTTCTAGCAAGCAGAGGGAATCTATCTGTTCAGGACATGGAAGAAGTCAACACATCAGCCCTCTGATACAATGGGATCCATGTTCCCAATCACTCCCACTGACTCCGTGAGAATAGGACATCAGAGACACAGATTCAAGTCT